CCCATCACATATGTATCCTTGAATGAGATTGTCCTCGGGCATGACGGCCCCATTCCATTTGTATCTCTGAATGAAATAGTCCTCGGGCATAGCGGCCCCACCACATATGTATCCTTGAGTGAGATTGTCCTCGGGCATAGCGGCCCCATCACATATGTATCCTTGAATGAGATAGTCCTCGGGCATAGCGGCCCCATCACATATGTATCCTTGAATGAGATAGTCCTCGGGCATAGCGGCCCCATCACATATGTATCTATGGATGGGATAGTCCTCGGGCATAGCGGCCCCATCACATATGTATCTATGGATGGGATAGTCCTCATACAGTCCTGAATAGTCCTGAATCTCTGATCTGTGAGAGAACTTTTGGCAGAAATTGATGAGGAAGGACGAATATGAGAATATCAGCACCGACAACAGCCTCTTTGAGGTCAGCTTTGGCCACAACATTATCGGGGAGTGTGATACCAGGCAGGTACTTCACATTTTCATGATGTGTATTAATAACATCGACCAAACTTCGCTTCTCGCCCTTGTAATCAACTTCTTCGTCAAATACCCACATCCTCACTTCCTCATCATAATACTTGTTACCATCACGAGTTGCTCTGATAGCAACCAGACGTGAGACGGTCGAACCCCAGTTACCACTACCAATAACAGTAACTCTTCTGGGATACCTGCTAGGCTGGGGGGAGCGGGGGGGGGGGGGGGGATAGATCTAATATGGGCCAAAGCTGAAGCACAAACAGTAAGGGAAAATATGGAGCCCGACCTGCGTTCTCAGAACCTGGTTTTGAGAACCACCATCATAATCCAAACACTAACCCGAAATTGATGTCCTTATTCGTAAAATTGCATTCATCAATTATGAAGTTGATTTCCCTATCCGACCTTCACCGCTAAATTAATGTCCCTTTCCACGAAGGCAGTTTCCTCACCCGCCAAATTGGTAGTCTTATCCGTCAAATAGACTTCTGAAAGATAAAGTACCCGATACCCATATACGCACAGTCAACCCAAGATTCCCCAAGATATCCCCTCAACGCACAGCGAAGACTTTCAAACCCAACATCTCATCACGTGAATCTATAAAGAAGCTATACAAGTGTTGGACACAGATTCTGCATCATAATCTTCTTATCAATTCTTGCCGTGCCAATCTGGAAAGCATTCATCGAAACTCTTCTTCCCATCGTGCTTCGACAGGATATGCTGTTCTAGCTGGCTCTTCTTTTGCGTTACCATAAACTGCTGTCGACAAACCTGATGAGAAAAGCAGCAAAGGTACTTCGAAAAAATACGTTGGGGAAATCACTCACAGTGCAGATAATACCAAGCGCCTTCTGGTTAGCTTCAATCTGGCTAGTGCCTCCCTTAGACATCTTGTCCTTCCGCGCCAACGCTCGTTGACGATCTTTATCACGCTGATTTCCGCGAGTCATTATAGAGTAATGAGGAAGACGATAAACTACATACCGAAAGATTCCCGGTTCGATCCTCGGAACCCACAACTAACCAATATTTCCAGAAAATCAAATAGCCCTTCAATAACTCTACAAACGACCATCGAAACCACTAAGTGATAATTATTACATCATGCATATTTACCAATACCAATGCCCTCAACCGCAGAGATATGCATCTGAAAATTTAAGATTCTTTCACTACTGCCTACATACCACTTTACCTTCCGGTCTAACTCCTCGATCTTCCTTCCCGGGATGTAGCAAGATGTCCCTCAGTTGGACACTCAAATTAATAAGTCCAATTCTCTCATCACAACCTGATCTCAGCCTATAATCCTCTGCCGCTAACCATCTCAACATTTTCGCCTGAAAAAAAGGATAAAAATTTTCCGGAAAATTCCTCTAAAATTTACCTTTTGCATATCACTTAGCTGAGAATCCTCAGCGACTCTCATAACAATTTGTTCCACAAGTTGCATGCAGTTGTACCCCTCGCGTAACACCAACACATCGCACAAATCGACCAAAGTCGACCATGCATTTTTCCCAGGACTTATATCCTTCAAACCATTCATGAGCTTAGCTGAGACCTCGAGTGGCACCGACTGAAATACAAAAAATGTAAATAGAAAAACTTCGCTCCGCTAGACTCACCC